GGTATCAGAGCTGACCTAGCATTTGGGCATGGTGAGGGGGCTCGAGTAGGAAAGGGCTACCCGTAGACGGAGTCAGAGGACTCGTCACGGCGTGGAGCCACCATTGGGCTACGCCTCACATGCACTATGCTAGGGTCTGATCTGGGTTATGTTGGGGCTTGACGAGGACGTCAAGCCTTTGAGTGGGGGTGATTGTAACACCCTTGATTAGTTCCACATCGAAAGTGGACAAGATTAAGATTGGCTTATAAGGGTCTGATGAGTGTACTACTATTAACTTCAGCTTAAGCATTTTGGTCAGTGGTTTAGACCAAACGAAGTTGATAGGCTAGTTAGCCCATCAGGCTCGGGTCATAATACTCTATCTTCTATTTCTTCCTGTCAGATATCTGCAGGCCTGGCTTTTAAACTTAACTTTATCCTTGATTATTGTTGTGTATACAATAAGTTAGAGAACTTGTGGTTACCTTAATCATAAGTTTCCAGTTTTAAGATGGAATGTTGGTATTGATGTTCTTTAGAAATCTTTTATACAGAGAGAAGTACAGTAAGGTAAGGTTTAGGTTCCTTTGCAATGGCCATATGCAAGAGAATAAATATCTTTGTCATAAGCTCTCATATCAGCTGTTACATATCGGTCCGACCAAGTACTAATATTGAAATTTGGAGCTGGATACTAATACATATATTGTCAATTTTTATTTTTTATTATTTTTTCAGTAGTAGGTTCGTACAGGTTGGTGTATCACTTGGTATATTGATATTATACTGCTCAGTTAGGCGAACAAAACCAGCATTTGATTGGAATATAACTTTGGTCACAACCATGAGCATTTAATCCAAAAGGTTTCTTTGTTTATTTGATTGGAACGTGATGTAGAATGCATGTCCTTATTTATGATGCTTTTGCATTTTAGATCCAGGTGGATTTTGGCAACCCAACGAAAGAGAGATGAGGGTTATGATGATGCATAGTGCCTGGCTTTATGTAAATATAGTGAAAGTTAGATTGGTTGTGTGGCACTGATAATAAAATGTGTTGGCATGGATCTCCAAACGGCAACATACAATGAATGCAATTTTCAATAATAACAGTCAAGTTCACCTTTTATACTACACATGATGAGACAAGTTAGAAGATAGGTTAGTCTAAGTTGCTTCATATTTGAGACATATGTTTTAACTTTTGTATTTGGATGAATTTTCATTCTTATTTTAGCTGCTGGCCCTGAAAAAAATTTCAATATGAATTCAACTCATGCTACTACAAATAAGCATGAATAACTTATATAAAAAAGAAAAAAAATTAATTCCTTTAATTTTTTTGATGAATTTGGACTAATATGTTGAATGTTTAACACATTTGCTAGAAATTTTGGCATCTACCTCCTTAATGTGCCTTAAATTCTTAAATTTTGACATTGCTGTCATGGAACATGCTTAAAGCTATATGAAGGTTTGCATTTTACATGGTTATTTAGTCATTTGAAATATATGATGACTTTTTTTTTCTTTTTGACAATTTTATTGAATGTTCAAACGTCAAACCCAAGGTGTCAAGTAGTGTGGATTGATATTTACTGGTTTGGAAAAGGATCTATGTCAGACCATATGATCCGATACTGATGGTGATTAATTTATTATTACTTTTTAGGGTTTGTACTAGACTGTATGGGTACACTGGTGCCATATCGATATGGTAGATTACTGAAATTGGTACTGGGCTGAGATTTATTACCTTGATCAAATACAATTCTGCATGAAAAAAGTGAAGCCATTTAAATCAATGTTTTTATCATTGCTTTGGCCCCTTATTAATTTTTTGTGACAGTACAGTTAATATTGTTTGCTGTATTTGAATTCTTTTCCAGGCCTTGCTGATCATGATAATTACCATGAGTTTTGTCGTCTTCTCGGACGTTTTAAAGTAAACTATCAGGTAATCTATCAATGCCTTTCTCCAGCTAACATGTCTTACAAACTTTTGGATTCTCAGTAGGGTTTGCCATTTCGAGTACCGTACCCGTCTTGGAGATTTGTCAGGTTGGTATGTACCGATTTGTATCGGTGCATCGACACATGATATGCTGAGGCATGCTGACGGGAACTTTGGTAATCTATGTTTTGGTTGCCAGTCGGATCGGTTTGTACCACCTGTACCATATCGACTTGGGCGGTTTAGCAAGCATTGCAATAGCTCGATGTTGTCTGACTTATGCGTGGCTGAAGATTTAGCATAGAAATCTATTTTTGGCCAAATTCTATAATTTCCTCTACTATTTCTTTGTGGTAAATGCGAATCAGTTAAGGTGATGAAGAAGTACATAGAGAAAAAGAAAAGAGGAAGAAAGGTAAAGAAATGGAAAATTATAAAAAAGATTCAAACAAATGACTTAGAAGGCTCCAAACATCATGAGATGAGCCATAGGGAATGCTTACTTTACTACTTTTATTAAATGAGCTATGATTGCCATAATTGAATGCTTCCTTGTTTCTGGATTTTAAGTGCCAACTATTACTTAATTCTTTGACAAATCTCATATGCCTTCAAACTTCATTTGGAACACTCATATATCCTCTCAGTTTGTCTTTGTGAAAGTCACTTTAAAAATGTTTTAGTGGAGAATTGCACAACATTTTAATCCAAAAGAAATTTTGAGTAGCTTGATGCTATTTCTATCACATGCATGTAGGGGTTTCTGCCTGGATGTACCTTCATTCCTGAAGCAAAGCCGAGTCAAAGTCTATGGATAATCAATTAACCACTATATGTTGCTTGACATTGTATAACATCTCTCTGTGCTTGTTCTTGGATGGCTGCTGCCATGTTAGGTGATTAGAAAATACTTATCTCTTAACTTCAGCATACTTTTGTTAACGAAGTCAAATCACTTTGTTCACAGCTAAAAATTACATTGGACAAGAGGCTGTCTTGTAATGCTAAGGATCAAACACCAGCGAGAATCACATGGTTGGGGACATCAATTATAACGCTAACATAATTGAAGAACTTACAATTTCCAGTTATTGTTTGAGTTCGGTCCTCCTAACAACAGGCGCCATAAAGATCATGTTATGGTGTTTTCTCATATAGATTCTTTCATATATTAATTTAATTTTCATGATTAACATTAAATTGGTGTGATTTTTAAACACTTCAGTTTGTTGCTGTGGTCAACTCATGTATAATTATTAATCAAAACAAAGATGGGTGAGAACTGAGAAGTATATTCTGTTCTTTGCATCAGTTGTCAGAGCTTTTGAGTGTGGAAAGTTATGGCGAATGGATACATTTGGTGGCTGAATTCACAACAAAATCATTGCAGTCATGGCAGGTTTACTTCTTATAACCTGCAAATATACTTCCATACCAAGGGTTGAAACTTGTCTGCAACTCTTTTTTACTGCAATGTGCTCTCATATTAGAGCACTGATGTCAACTTTTGTCTTTATTTCTAGTGGGCTAGCAGTAGTGTGTACTACCTTTTAGGACTTTGGTCGAGGCTGGTAACATCTGTGCCATACTTGAAGGATGAGACACCGAGTTTGCTGGATGAAACTGTACCTAAAATCACGGAGGGTTTTATCACCTCCAGATTCAATTCTAATCAGGTAGCATGTTGTCTACTTCAGTTTTTCAACTTTTAGATGATGGGTATCTTTGCTGAAATTTTATCCATTTCAGGCTGATTTTCCTGATGACCTCTCAGAGGATCCTTTGGATAATGTCGAACTTCTTCAGGATCACCTTGAGTTTTTTCCATACCTGTGTAGATACCAGGTAGTATTTTGTTTTTCTACCTTCATCTCTACCTTCAGGTTCCCTTTGCTTTAAAAATGAATGCTTATTCAAACTGTGGATTTGTATAAAATTTACTTTTTTAGTCTACCCTTTAATTGTCCAGTCTAATGCATTTAGGGCACTCCACTATGGTCAAAATATAGTTTCTAATATCTTTTGTACCCATGGGTTGCAGTACGAAACCAGTAGTCTGTGTATAATGAAGATTATGGATCCTATTCTTCAGGTTTATACAGTATGTATATATCCATTTATCTTCTAAAATTGAATGAATATGATGGTTATCCCTGGAATGAGATGAAGGCTTGGACTTCTAATCTTGTAGGAAAGAGCAAGCTCACCAATGCCTGTAGATGCCAATGAACTTGCTGTAATTGAAGGACAAATATCATGGATTGTTCATATTATTGCTGCTATTCTCAAAGTCAGACAGATTACTGGCTGCAGGTCTGTAAATGTTTTCTGGTTGGGGTCTTAGTTGATTTAAGGCAAATCAGATAACATGTTTCATCTTCTCTTGTAGAACTGAATCACAAGAGTTAATAGATGCAGAACTTGCGGCACGTGTTTTGCAACTATCAAATGTCACAGACATTGGAGTTCACTCTCAGGTAAGGAATCGGATGCAAATTTTGACAGTCTGATGTTGTGCACTTTTAAATCATTAATCATCATTAGGTACTATTGTTTATCAGATTAAATTTTGGAATAAGGGGAAAGATGATGTGATAAAGTATTAAATTGTTTCCAAGATTGCTAATTTTGCCTGATATTGAAATAAAAAAGGTAGAATTGTTAGGTTTAATCTGTTTCTCTGGCACACAGTCATCTGTTCTTCACTGGATGATATCCATAGGAAAAAAGGAGTGCCATTTCTTGGTTAAGGTATGACTTTGATGTCAATATTTTTTTGGTTTGTAAATAGCTTGTCGTTTTGTGTATTAGGGTCATAAATACGTAGAAGCTTTTTTTTTTTGCGTGTAGGTTCTCTCTCCATCTTGGTGTTCTTAATAAATCTGATATTACCGTGGCATACTGTATAGGTCCACTACCCCCAATATCATCTCATATGCTTCCAAGGATTGAATCTGATGATGATCTATGATCATGAAGAGTTGATTTTGATCATATTTAAACAAATTTCTGCACCATTCTGTATTGTTCTTTTAAATCTGATTGTAGTGCACTGTGTGTTGTTTACCTCAAGGAAGGCAATACTGAATGATACCGCCCGGTATAGGCGGTACATACCGGTCCGACGGTATACTGGTACGCGAACCGCCCACTACCGGGCGGAACGAAAAAATAATAATAAAAATTATATATATATATATATATATATAACTATTT